TCTGAGACCATTTTTCATGCCTTTTTTTATGTTTAACGTGTAAGTCCAGTAAACAGTTGCTAATAAGGCCACTCCTTTTCTGTGACACTACTATGTCTGGGCACTAGTGATTGTTGTGTGTGTTTAGCAATTTTTATATTTGGACTTTCAATGGGCAACATTGAATTGTAATTAATCCTTGATTCACAATAGACTTTCATCAATTTCTATGTGTTGCCTATTTTTACTTAGTTAATTAGTTAAAATAATTGAATGCTGGGGCCGGCACAGTGGCATATCAGAATAATCCTCCACCTACGGCCCCGCATCCCCTATAAACAAAGGTTCTTGTTCCAGCTGCTCCACTTCCTAGCTCCTTGTTATTGTGCCTGGGTACAATAACATAAGTGTTATTATAACAATAACGTGAATGTTATTGGCATAAGTGTTTGTACCTCTGCATCCATCTGGGCGACCCACAAGAAGCTCCTGGCTCCTGGATTTGGATCAGCTCAGCTCCAATCATTGTGGTATTTGGAGATTAAGCTAGCAGATGGAAGATCTCACTGTCTCTCCCTCTCTGTGACTCTAAATTTCAAATAAAAATAAATAAATCTTAAAATTTTTTTTGACTAGTGCTAGTGCCACCCTGTAGCAGTTTAATCCTTAGCCTGCAGCACTGTCATTCCGTATGGGTGCCATTTCAAGTCCTGGCTGCTCCATTTTTATTCCAGCTCTCCACTAATACCCTGGAAAAACAGTGGAGAATGACCCAGGTGCTTGGGCCCTCCACCCACATGGGAAGATACTTCTTTCTGCCTCTCCTTCTTTTTGTACTTTGCTTTTCAAATAAATACTTATTTCGAAAATAATGTAAAGTAATTGATTTCAATTATTTATAATAACTAGGCTTTATTAGACTTACTTATTTTAAAGTCAGAATTACAGAGAGAAAGAGAGAGAGAAGGAGATAAGAGAGAGAGGTCTTCCGTTCCTGGTTCACTCCTCAAATGGTTGTTGTAGCTTGAATTGGGTCAGTCTGAAATCAGGAGCCAGGAACCAGGATCTGGGGGATTCTTCTGTGTCTCCCATGTGGGTACAGGGGCCCAACAACTTGAGCCATTCTCTGCTGCTTTCCTAGGCCATAAACAGGGAGCTGGATTTGAAGTGGAGCAGCCAGGACACAAAGCAGTGCCTGTATGGGATGGGGTGCCACAAGGCAGAGGATTAGCTTGCTATGCCTCCATGCTGGCCCCAAATAGCTAGTTATTTTAAAAACTATATATCTACAATCCCGTCATTCAAAACGAAAACCAGAATAGACAATAACCTAAAACTCAGCAATTCTACTCCTCATATGTACTTAAGAGAAAATTTGCTTATATATAATAAGAGATAGGTACAAGAATGTTCACAGCACTACTGTTTATAATACCAAAGACCCAGAATCCACTTAAATATCCATTATGGGAGACAGCAATAATATTCAGACAGAATAAACTGTTCAATTCACACAAATGATCAATATATACAGCAATCAAAAATCAATAGATAAAAGGAAGAGAATAATTATTATCAATGTAATATTAAGCAAAAAGATTATTATCCTTAAAGGACTATATTATCTCCAAAGGAATAAATCAGCTTAACATTCTTTTAATAAATTCAAAACAGAAAAAAAAAGATTTCTTAAATATTTATTTTTATTGGAATGTCAGATTTATGGAGAGAAGGAGTGATAGAAAGATCTTCCATCTGCTAGTTCACTCTCAAAATGGCTGCAATAGCTGCGGCTGAAGTGATCCAAAGCCCGGAGTCCGGAGCCTCCTGTAAGTCTCCCACATGGGTGCAGGGTCCCAAGGCCTTGGGCCATCCTCCACTGTTTTCCTAGAGCACAGTCAGGGAGCTGGCTAGGAAGCAGAGCATTCAGGACATGAACTGGCACCCATATGGTATCCCTGCACTTGGAGGTGGAGGATTAGCCAATTGTACCATTGCACCAGACCCAGAAAAAATTTTAAATGACATTTTTCTTTTAAATAATTGTGGTTGTTTTTTTTTTTAAGATTTATTTATTTATTTATTTTTACACAGAAAGAAGCAGAGACAGAATCTTCCATTCACTGGTTCATTCTCCAAATGGCCACAAAGTCTAGAGCTGGTAAGGAGCCAGGAGCTTCTTCTGTCTCTCCCACATGGCGCAAGCACCCAAGCATTTGGGTCATCTCCTGTTGCTTTCCCTGGCACATTAGCAGGTTAGTTGGATCGGAAGTGGAGTAGTGAGGACAGGAACTATCTCCCATATGGGATGCTGACGCTAGCAGACAGGATTTGCTTGTTGAACCATTGTGCCAGCCCCTAAAATAACACTTTTTAGGAATACAGACAGATGAAAAGAAATCATATAACAAGGAAAGCAGAGGAACTAAAATTCAAGATTATGGCAACATTAGATAAGGTGGGGGATGGGATGTGCAGATACGTGGCTAGCCAGGTTATTGCTCTAAAGAAAATACATGTCAATCCAAATTTGTGGGTATTTAGAAAATGTTCAGAACTTTTTCTACATTGTAAGGATTGCCTCTTTTTTTTTTAAAAAAAAGATTTATTTGTTTTTATTGCAAAGTCAGATATACAGAGAGGAGGAGAGACAGAGAGGAAGGTCTTTGTCCGATGTTTCACTCCCCAAGTGAGTGCAACGGTCGGTGCTGTGTTGATCCGAAGCCAGGATCCAGGAACTTCTTCCAGGTCTCCCACACAGGTGCAGGGTCCCAAAGCATTGGGCCGTCCTCGACTGCTTTCCCAGGCCACAAGCAGGGAGCTGGATGGGAAGTGGAGCTGCTGGGATTAGAACCGGCACCCACATGGGATCCCTGTGCTTTCAAGGCGAGGACTTTAGCCACTAGGCCATGCCACTGGGCCCAGGATTTCTCTTTATGGACTTTACTATTCATGTTATAATCCTGTCAGATTCAATTGTGATTATTGGGGTTAGCATTATGGCACAGCTGGTTAGGCTGTCATCTATGTCAGCATCCTATACAGCTGCTTGTTCTAATCCCGGGTGCTCTATTTCCAATCCAACTCCCTGCTAATGCACTTAGGAAAACATCAGCAGATGGCCTAAGTACTTGAGACTCTGCATCCATGTGGGAGTCCAGAATGGAGTTGTCGGCTTCTGGCTTTAGCCAGAACAACAGATGAGAGCTCTCTCTTTCCCTCTCTCTGCAATTCTGACTTTCAAACAAACAAACAAACAAACAAACAAAAAGCAGTAGTGGTGATGGATTAGACTGTATGCCAAAAAATGAAGTTCATACATTTATTGAAACAAAGCAGTGAAAACCCAAGAGATAGAGATCTGCTGGTTCAGGTGGCTACAATAGCTAGGACTGGGCCAGACCAAAGTCAGGAGCCAGGAGCTTCATCTGGGTCTCCTATGTGAGTGGCAGGGACCCAAGCACTTGTGTCATCTTCTACTGCTTTCCCAGGTCATTAGTTGGGAGCTGGATCTGAAGTGGAGCCACCAGGACTAGGAGCAGCGCACATGGGAGGCGAGCACGGAAGGTGAGGGTATATATGCTACCCAGCGCTGGTCCCACCCTGTATTATCCTTGTTCCCCGTGTCTCTGTCGCAGGTCAGGGCCCGATCTGGGAGCAGTGTTGCTTTTTTTTTTTTTTTTTAAGATTTATTTATTTTTATTGCAAAGTCAGATGTACAGAGAGGAGAGACAGAGAGGAAGATCTTCCATCCGATGATTCACTTTCCAAGTAACTGCAATGGCCGGTGCCGTGCTGACCCAAAGCCAGGAGCCAGGAATTTCCTCCAGGCTTTCCACACGGGTGCAGGGTCTCAAGACTTTGGGTCGTCCTCCACTGCTTTCCCAGGCCACAAACAGGGAGCTGGTGTGGAAGCAGGGCTGCTGAGATTAGAAGCAGCACCCATATGGAATCCCAGGTGTGTGCAAGGCAAGGACTTTAACTACCACGCTATGGTGCTGGGTCCTGGAAGTTATATTTAAAAGTGCAGATTCTCACATTTGAAAAATTGAAACCTTGGGCAAAAGACACTTTAAAAATATTTCTTTTTATTGGAAAGGCAGATTTACAGAGAGGAAAGACAGAGAAATATCTTCCATTTGCTGTTTCACTCCCCAAATGGCCGTGCCAACAAAGATAAGCTGACCCAAAGCCGGAGTCTCACACGCAGCTAAAGCCCTAAGGCTTTGGGCCTTTCTCTGCTACTTTCCCAGGACATAAGTAGGGAACTGGATGGGAAGTGGAACAGCTGGAATGCCCAGACTGGATTCCAGCATTTCCAAGGGAAGGGTTGAGCCACCATTCTGGCCTCAAGATGAGACATCTTGGATGAAGCAGTAGCTTTCCCTGCAGGGTGCTTGCCATTCTCTATTGCTTCTTACAGCTTCCTCACATCCCTCATGGCATCCCAAACTCCAGTACCCTTTGACTGTTCTCCCAAGCATACCTTGGACGTAGTACCTAGCTCCAGATAGTCAAAATTAACTCAAGTTTGATCCAGCCACTAATTCGCATATCTTTCACTAACACATTCCATGAAATGCTGCGTGAATTAGATAGTCCTTTAGCCATCGTGGCTTTTCTCTCTTTCCCCAACCCCATGACTTCCCAGATCCAGCAGTTCCCAAACCAGTATTCTCCTGCAAGTCAGCCAATTAGGGCAGAGTGATTTCCTCCTACTCTCCATTTCTGAGTTCGGTTGCAGGGTGAACTGGGCCAGAGGTGTGTGAGTGTCCGTACTCACACAGATCCCAGAGACTAGCGCTTGCCAGAGCTTCAGGACCGGGTGCCCTGGCGGCTGAGGCAAACCTTCCTGCAAGCCGCAGCACTGGGCGAGCGCGACGTACGAGGGGCTCGGGGCGGCGCACGCCGGGAGCGGCACGGTCCTCCAAGGGCTTGCTGGGAGTTGTAGTTCTCCTGACCGGAAGTGAGGGTGGCAGGGATAGAAACCGCAGCTGAGGCAGCAGTCCCTGACGCCGCCCGCCACCGGGGTGTAGTGCATCACTCGGAGCCCACCAGCTGGGCGTGACTCCTCGGTTCCCGGAGGGTCCCTGCAGCCCTTGGCCGGGGAGGAAAAGCGGTAGGAACGCCTGTCTTCAGGCAGGAGGCGTTCTCGCAGTCCCGGATGCGGCCGGAGGGCGCGGGAATGGATCTCCGTGGCTGCGAGGATCGCCTGCCGGAGGAGAGCAGGTGGGTTTGGGGGAGTCCGCCGCCGGTAGGGTGCCGAAGCTCCAGGACGCCCTTTGGGAGGGCGTGAGGGGAATCGGCGCGGAAAGTGCCTGGCATTACAGACCTGAGGACCTGGGCTGGGGGGGCGGACTTGTTGGGGAAGAATTTCTGGAAGGAGGGACGGGCAGGGCGTGGATACGAAGAGGCTGCTGTTTGGTGAGGGTGAGGAAAGGTGAGTAGGATTTGCTGAGGACACGGCGGTGGGGTGCGGCAGAGGAGGGTGAAGCTGAGACGGTTGGAGACAGGTGGCTGTGGAGAGCCTGAGGGGCTCTCAGATTCTATAGAGAGGAGCAGGGTACAAGGTTAGTGGCACGCGAAACCGGGCCAATATGAAGAGGGTGGCAGTGTAAAAACTTCTCGGAGCAAAGGTTAGGGGGTTGTGAGTGGCTTCGGAAGAAGGGCAGGCAGGGCTGAGTGTGGGAAAGAAGACCCTGTGAAGGGAAGAGAGCGACTGTGAGGACGCGGGAGGAGGGTGGGAGCTTGCTGTTGAGGCCTGTGTAGAATCTACAAGGGGCCTTGTGCGTGAAGCGTTTGCAGACATCTGGAAGAATAAATAGCCAAGTGTTGTCAGTTCCTTCTCGTCTGCAGATCTCTCGCTTCTTCCCCCACAATGTAAGCTAAGGAAGTTCACATTTACTTAGACGACCAGAAAGTGCATCTCTCGTAGAAATTAGGGAATTACCAAAAAAAAAAAAAAATTTAACTACTTGGTTTGAATTGTCCATTGCACATTGTTATGGTGCTTTGCGTCATTGGAGTTTGCTACATAATCTCTTAAAGGGCTGGAATGGTGACAGGCCAAAGCAGGATGTGGTTTCTGGGGGTCTTGCTTGACTTTGAGAAACAGTAGTAGATGTGATGATGGACTTGGGAAGAGGTGGGCTCTAAAAGCCTGGGGTGAGAGTGTTTGCCTCAGAGAAAATAGCAGGAGGGGATTATATGCCTGTGTTAAGTTTTGGCTGTTTTTAAGGGTGACTCCACTCTTAGGTGCACAAGCGTGTGGCCTGCCATGTGCCACCTGGGCCAACAGGACCTTGTAGTCCCCGCTTGGGATTTACAAAGGATGCACACTGAGTGCAGTGGGGCGTCCTACTTCCCCTTTCAGTTTCTGCGTAGATACACACTTGGCTATTTTTTTCTTCCAGATGTTTGCAAAAATCTTGTGCACAAAAAAGGTACTTTGTAGATTCTAAACAGGTTTCAGGGTTTATTTTGATTTTCTTCTCTGCCAGTTTGTGTAGGGTAGGCTGAGTTGGAAATTCCAGTTCATGTTTCTTCCCTGTCTGCCTGGAGCTGGGTTGTTTGTGGAATGTGTTTAACATTTTACACTGCCTCACCACATGCCAGGCTCTGGTTCAGGACCTTTGTGGGGGATTTTAGTTTTGTAGTCCTTGTAGAAGATAGGGACTATTACTCTCACCATTTTACCTATGATGAAGCAGAGATGTGGACAGGATAAACAACTCACCAAGGCCAAACAGTAACCGCTGGTGGAAGTGGGTTTCAAACCTGGGCGGTCTGACTCTGGATTGTGCAGTTTGAGTACCTGCGCTGTCTTGCTCACTCTGCTGGACAGGACATTTGCTGCGCAAATGTTGCTCAGACCCGTGGGACCTCTCCTTTGAAGGTATCTTTTCCCATCAATTACCCATTTGTTTGTTTGTTGTATCTTAAAGAACTGTAGTCAAAACTTAATTTCTGCATTTGGAGTGCCCTTCCTAAAGCCACCCATATTACAGGCCTATTCTTGATTTGTGGCTGATGAATTCAGAATGCTGTTGAATGAAGCTTCGTGGATTCATTGGTTCTACATAGACCACTGGTAAATACATACCTTGTGGGGGACAATGATGTAATACCACAGGTTAAGTCTCCATCTTTCATTGTATGGGCACCACTTCTCATCTAGCTCCCTGCTAATGCACTTGGGAAAGCGATGGAATTTGAATTATGTACTTGAGCCCCTGACACGCACATGGAAAAACTGGATAGAGTTTCCAGGCTCCTGGCTTTGGACAGACCTAGCTCCAGCCACGGCAATCGTTTGGCAAATGAACCAGCAGATAGAAATTCTCTGTCTCTGTAACCCTTTCAAATCAATAGATTAAGTATATATACCTAATATATAATATGTAATTTTAAATCTTTCTCTATCTATAATATCCTTGTGCCTGATAATTAAGGCATTGTGGCTGTGTCTCTGCAAACAAAGCTTTTCCATGGATATTAAAACATTCAATGAGAAACAATCTTGGCTCGGTGGCTAAATCCTCATCTTGCATGTGCTAGGATCCCATGTAGGAGATGATTTATATTTCAGCTGCTCCACTTCCCATCCAGTTCTCTGCCTGTGGCCTAGGAAAGTAGTAGAGGATTGTCCAAAGTCTTGGGACCCTGCACAGACGTCGGAGACCTGGAAGGAGTTCCTAGTTCCTGGCTTTGGATTGGCTCAGCTCTGGCCATTGTGGGCACTTGGGGAGTGAATCAGTGGGTGGAAGACCTTTCTCTCCGTCTCTCCTTCTTTCTGTAAATCTGATTTTATTATTTTTTTTGTTGTTGTAAATCTGCCTTTTGTAGTAATAAATAAATAAATAAATTTTAAAAAAGAAACAATTTGATGAGATGTTGTCATTTATGAAGGAAAAAAGTTTTCAGTGTATTTTCTAAAAACAGTTGATAAAATGCAACATGCATTTGCTTTAAATATAGATAAGACATGCATTTGAATCTTAATGCCTCTGCTTAACTTGGTCAAGTTACTTTTCCTGTGTGAGTGGGAAGAATAGTGACTTCCTGCCTGGGAGGTTGTGATAATGTGCATCATGCTCCTCACAGAGTGTCTGGAATGTACTAAGTGCCAAAGTACCTCCGTCTGCTCCCCAGCTTTCTTGTTTTCTGATGGGTGTGTGTTCCACAAATGACTGTTGGCAATGATGCAGCTTGATCTTCCTCCCTCTGCAGACTGCCCAATGAGATTTGATCTCATTGGGTGCTGCACTGTTGGCCCAGCTTTTAACTTCACACTAGGAATATAGTTACGTCACCGGTCCCCTGTTGTTTTCCATCTGGCTAGCCATCATTCTGACAAAAATGCTTTAGTGCTTAAGGATTATATTTAACTTTCCCTAGCATCTACTAAATGTTAATTGTTTGAAATTTGTCTGAAACTACTCAACAGCTAAGGGAAAAGGCCTGGCATTGCCATGTCACCTTAACCTCCTTGGGTCAAAAAGTCTAATTTTTTTTGCCTTCCTTCATTTGTTTGTTTATTTGAAAGGCAGAGTTATTGAGAGAGAGAAAAGAAACTACAGAGGGAGGGAGATCTTCCATCCATTGGTTCACTTCCCAGGTGGCCAAAACAGTGAGGAGTAGGACAAGCCAAAGCCAGACACAGGAGCATCATCTGGGTTTCCACCTGGTGCAGAGGCCTGAGCACTTGGGACATCTCTCACTGCTTTCCCAGGCACATTAGCTGGAAGCTGGGCTGGAAGTGGAGTAGCTGGGATTTGACCTGGTGTCCATAAGTTGACACTGCAGGCTGTGAAATAACCTGCTGCAGCACAGTGCTTGTTCCCAAGAGACCAGCTTCCGAGCTTGGAACTCCTGATGCAATGATCTAGAAAGAGTCTGAATTCTAATAGTAACACATTTATAGTATCTCCAGACCACAGCACTATAAAGATTCAGTGGGTCAAAGCCTTCTCCTCTGTTCTCTCTGTTAATAAATAGCATTTTCACTCCATCAGCCAAGCCTGAAGTGAATTGGATACTTTCCTTTTCTCTGTTGTCTATATTCAACTAGTCACCAGTTTCTGTGAATTCTGTTTCTGATTTTTCTTTTGAACCCTTCTTTTTCTCCAATTCCCTAAATAATGGTTTTATCACTAAGTCAGAGGTGTAGCATAGCTGTAGTAATGACTAGATCCCAGTTGCTCGGTCGAGAATTTGCCTCCCATCTTTGAGCTACTGTGTTTCATTCTCTGGCAGGTATTTTTATAGGATAACCCTTAGCTACTCCAGACTTCGCAGTCCTAACAGCAAAAAAGATGCAGTTTTCATACTTCCAGCAAAAGCAAAACTTATGAGCCCAATTTAGAAAGTTTGTTTATTTCAAAGATAAGTGACTAAGAGAGAGGGATCTGCCACGTGCTAGTTCATTTCCCCAGATACTCACAACAGCTGTTGCTTGGCCCAGGCCAGCCAGAGCCAAGAGCCAGGAATTCTGTTTGGGTCTCCCACATGGGTGGTAAGGACCCAAGTACTGGAGCCATCATCTGTTGCCTCCCAGGGTACACCCAGCAGGAAGCTGTATTGGAAGTGGAGATTGAGTAACAGTAGCTTAGTGGCTGAAGTCCTCTCCTTGCTTCAGGATACCATATGGATGCCAATTCTAATCCCGGTGGCTCTACTTCCCATCTAGCTCTCTGCTTATGGCCTGGGAAAGCAGTTGAGGACGACCCAAGGCCTTTGGACCCCGCACCCATGTGGGAGACCCGGAAGAGGCTATGGGCTCTTGGCTTTGGATCACCTCAGCTCTGGCTATTGTGGCCATTTGGGGAATAAACCAGTGGATGGAAGATCTTCCACTCTGTTTCTGCTCCTCTCTGTATATCTGACTTTCCAATTTAAAAAAATATGATGTACTGGAAGTGGAAGTTGCGCTTGCCCTAGGCACTATCCCATGTGTTGTAGGCATCCTAGGCAGCAGCTCAGCTTGCTGTACAACAATACCTACCCACGACTGACATGAGTTAATTCCTGCTTTTGTGATTAGATTGTGGAATATGTTGCTCAGCCAGGCCGAAGTTATGTGCCCAACCCTGGATCATAGCGTGGGGTAAGACCTTGGGACCTCACAGGCCAGAGTAAATGGTCAAGGAGTTGTTTTTCTGCAGAAAGTCATGTTTCTGTTTTTAACAACGAAAGGACAGGAATTCTAGGCAGATATAAACATATTCAGA